TCAAGTTTGTAAAAGTTTAAATTGTATATTTAAATCCACGTAGGTACGTATTTTTGCCATAATAATTTTTAGACAATCTATCCAACTAGCAGAAATAGAGAAATCAATTTCGTATCATTTTGTTAGCGGTTAGATTATTTTTAAATTTCAACATTGGTTATTTGTGTATCTTTCCCTTTTAAAATGTTAGGTACATAAAATGGTTTCGTGCTGGACCATTTTCAACACAATCAACAGATTTTTGCTCCATCCCTGTCCTGATAACCTAACCTAATCAAGAAGTTCCTGCACCATTAGGGCGAGGCACTATGGAGATTGCATCTCGCGATTTGCCATCCCTGATTTAATTTAATTTAAGGGAAAATTGAATGGGTCATACTTAGAGTCCGTCTGGCAAAAATTTTAAATGGGGAGCAGACAGAGCCTTATTCTTTTTCCTTTTTTCATTTCTATTCTCAATTTTTATGTATGTTATACAATTAACAAATTTTTATTTATTTATTATTTTTTATAAATATCTACATTTGGCTATATTTATAATTAGTCTAGTAGACCTCAAAATTTGATTGAATCAATCCGTTAATGAATTTCACGTCATTTCTTCATCCACCTATATACGTCGACACCATTACCATCCAAAAAAGGTGCAGCGACAGTTTGCACTTTGATGTTCTATGCAACTGCTAAAAAATATAAATATAGGTTGGAGAAATAAATTTACAAAGTTTTGAGTAGGGTTTAATTTTCATCTCTTTTCTTTAATAATAATGCATTGGGTATTTTTAGAGCTTGTTTGGGAGAGATTTTTGGGGAAAGAATTGATTTTGAATAGTAATATGTTGGGAAATGTGTGGTTGAAAAAGAAGAAAAAGTTATTGATTTGATGGAAAATAATGTAAATTATTCCTCACTATGGATTCCCTCCAAAATTTTATTTAATATAGAGAAAAAAAAACTCATTTGCCTATTGTATTTTTAAATAAGCAAAACAAATAATAATGCAAAAAATGTAATTAAATATTTGACGCTCATTTTAAAACACGTTAACAATATTTTTGAATGAAAATCATTATTAAGGACAAGATTTCTAGATCAATGAAATGTTAAATATAAGAATATGACGAAGGAAAAATTTAAGAATATAAGTGTGATAATGAATAAATGTTAATGACCTTTAATGTAATTAAAATGTGGTGTATTTATAAAAGAAAAATGTGAAGTGAATATAACCAACCCTTTCATTATGCAGCACACAATAAAAGGGAGTTTTAAGAAGAAGAAGAAAATCTGAGTTTTGCATTTTAATTTTGGGTGATTGTATTGCTATAATTTTTATTCGATACACCACAATTTAATTGCAGTTAACTCATCAATCTTTGTTTATTGTAGCAATTATTTCTTTAACATTTTTCGTCGAATTCTTATATTTAACTTTTCATTAATTAGTATGTCTCGTCCTTGATGAAAATTTATATTAAATATTTTGTTTTCATGTTTGAAGTGAGGGAAACTATTTTTTCACACTTTTTATTTATTTATTTTTTAAAAATATGATGAGAAAATAAGTTGTTTACCCCATTTCAACAGATTTTTGAATTGAAAATTGTTACTATCAAATATAAAAGATGTTAACTAGTAGAAAGTTTGAAGGTATGAATGACATAAAAAATCATTAGAGACATAAGTGATGTAACGAGCAAACATTAAAAACTTTAAGTGTAAGAAATAAAAATTGTGGCGTGAATATAATTACTTTAATTTTTTCTTGTTATTCGAGCTTTGTACAAATAGTATACATTTGTGAGTGTAGCAGAGCTTATTATTTTCTTAAAGATTTGGGTGTACAAATGATTTTATACGATTGAAATCATTTTTTATATAATAAATATTAATGTCATTTTTCGCATTTTTTCCTTCTATTTTGAAGTTTTCATATAATCTTTGTATTGTTTTTCTCTATTTTTTTTAAAGTTCGACTTCTTAATATTTATATGAACGAGGATCGCTTGGATGGATAAAGTAATCTTTTTGGTAGACATTTTTTGAAAAGTGATTTTGTGAAAAATACATGATTAAAAATTAAGAAATTTTTTAATTTATATGTAAAATTATTTTATTGAAAGAATAGTTAGTTGAAAATGAGTTGAAAAAAAACGAGTTTGAGAAAACAAGGACCAAGCACAAATTGACTGTAAGTAAATTAATGTTCAATAAACAATTTTTATTAACCGACAATTAAAAATGTAAATTATTTATTTCGATAGTAGCGTAAAATTTACTTTTACTAATAAGTTATTTACATATATAAGAAAAAATAATTCTTACTTGTAAGTAAATAAGTAAATCTTCTTGAAAGTAAATAAATTTTAATATAATAACTTTCTTCATTAATCAAAATTAAAAATAATCCAGTTAATTAACACTAGTGTAAGAGTTACGTTTAGAGAAAATAATTTGTTTGCTCAATAGTAGGGGAAAAATGTTTTAATGAAACACGTGCATACACAAAAAGTAAATCTAATTATAAATCCATTAGTAATTTTTCTTATAAAAATTTAGTAAGGTTTTAAAATAAATATTCTTTTATAAATCAAATTTAAAGTATGCCACTGTTTGTTTCCCATTATTTTCAAAATACATCTTTCTTTTTCTTATTTTCAACTACACATTTTTTAATAAAATAATATTAAATTCAAATAAAAAAAATTTCTTACTTTTTAACTACACATTTTTCATTAAATCACTATTTCAAAATATATTTTTGTCTAAAAATGAGACTCAAACAACTTTTAAACCTCTGTTTGATTCTATTAAAAGAGTGGATTAGAATTCAAGTTAAAGTCGATAATTAATTTTTATCATACTTTTACTAGACCTACAAATTTTCAATTACGCATTTCATTAACTTTTATTAAAACTCTAATTTTTATTTGAACAAAATAGGGGCTAGCCGCTAACTAAATTACTTAAATACAAGAGTTGTCTTTGAAAAACTTTCACTAAAAAGTAAGAGAAGAAATGCACAAGCGAACGTAATATTTACATAAATAAATTTTACCTTTTCATTTTTAAGTGTAGCCAAAAGCATTGTCATAGTATTTTCACTTCTAAATACATGTACTTCTTTGAGGGTGGCTACACTTTATCTTACAGATGCGTATGTGGTGAAAGATGAGCGCGAATAGTATTATATGTAAAAGATGTCGTGAGATGGTGTCAAGTGTAAATTCTTTAAGTTATGGTGTAAATGATGATATATATGTAGCATGATTGACTTCTTCAATACGATCATGCACCAAAGACGATACAGTAACAATAGACCTTCCCCATTATTTAACATTATAATTTTTAGAATAGTATTTTTTTGAAGAATGAGTTATTGAAAAAGAAGGAAAAATTTTCGATTCACGTGTAATATATATATTTTTTAAATGTACAATTTAAAAAAAAAAGAGAGAATGTATTATAATTTTAAAGGGGGCTAGACAGAGACTTAACAACCCAATCTAAAAAGTAAGATGGTAAAGCTCAAGCCTCACATGCCTAATCTCATATTCAACAAATTCATAATATTCCTGCTACAAATATGAAATCTTGACTTTGACATCTCATATACCTATTTAACTTCTCATCCACCGAAATTCTTCAATGAGTATTATCCATATTACAATATATGAAATATTGATTATGCATGTCAAGATTTAAAGATTGAGATCTATTTTCACAAAGGCTCAAGTTAGGAACTCTTTAGTAATTTCCCCATTTCTTTTTCATCATCCTTTAATTAAAAAAAGAGTGTATTAAAAGTAAAAAGTAACACTATTTTGAATATGATAGTACGATACTTTAAGAAAACAGAAATCCAGTCACCGTCGCATCGCCTTCGTATCGAACTCATTACCAATACCAAATCATATCCCGATCCAATTCTAAAAATTAGGGTTACATAATTTATTTATTGTTGTGATACAAATATAATAATCTTAATTCCATAATTCCTTCCCCTCCCAACACCCCTCGTATAAAACTATATGCAGTGGAAAACAAATCACACACACATAGTTGAAGTAACCTATCGGCTCTTGGTAAAGCAAAATTCTCAAAAACCAAATTCATAGGAATTCATTTTCCATGAAAGTAACTTAAAGTGATTGTACCTTGAAATTCGATTTCCATTTTCACGTTGCAATCAAATGACCAAAGTGGGATTCGTTTTTTTTGAATATGACATTTTCCATGAAATTCGTTGCAATCAAATATGACCTAAGTAAAACTTCTAATTTCAAGGGTGTCTACGGATCCGTTTGATAGGTAAATGTGGAAATGAATTCCAATTCCATATTAGTTGGAAAATAAAAACTCATCAAATTCATAGGAATTTGTTTTTCATGAAAATAAAGAAAATGCAGTTTAAAATGGTTGTACCTTGGAATTCGGTTTCAATTTCCACGATGCAATCAAACAATCAAGTGGAATTCGTCTTCCTCGGATGTAACATTTTTCATGAAATTCGTTGCAATCAAACATGGCCTAACAATTTAATTGACAGATTCTATCCAATTGACTCCGACTGCAGTTAAAGTGAAAGGTTTGGAACTATGGCCTCAGAAATAAAAGGTCAAGGCGTAGTTTGCAGCAAATTGAAAGATTTGGGACCTCCGCTGCAATTGTCCCTTTATATATTACAAAGAGGATTAAACTAGATGTACTCCATGGTTTACTCCATGGATTACTACATGGCCAAGTGGCGGCCATGTATTGGAGCCTCGGGTGTGGGTACTTGTAGCATCCTCCAAAGAAAGATCAGTTTGACGCTAGACAGTTGACAGCTGGGCATAAAAAAGTGATTTACCAGCTAGTTATCGCATTTCTTCCATTTTATATTTATTTATTACGAAATTACAAAAAGGCCACCTATTTCCTTCTCAAATCTTCCCTCGATCTACAGACGACAATACTGAAATCAATTTTGCAAAGAAGAAAACAGAAAATCAAAATTAATGGCGGCTTTTATTAAGCTCGAGGACTCGCCAATGTTCCAGAAACAGGTTAAGCAATGCCATTCTTTTATTTTTTATTGTTAAATTTGAATTTATTTTGTGTTTTGTATCGTGCCTTTTGTGTTGTGATTCTGATTTTGTGATTTGTTGAATGGATATTTAGGTGCGATCTCTGGAACAGACGACTGATGAACTACGAGATCGATGTCAGAAACTATACAAAGGCTGTAAGAAGTTCGTGTAAGTGTTAAATTATATACTTATAATTACGAGTAGATGTATAGATTTAGAAGACAGGTAGAACCTTTAAGTTATTAAGGGTTTCAACAAATAAAAATTGCCGTTTCTTGAATTACCTAGTAGTATCCTTTCAATGGGTTTGGATTTGTATCGAAGTGTCCGTGTAAGAACATGTAAATGAGCGTTCTTTGTCTGCTATGGTTACTAGAACTTGTTTTTTTGGGGTCTAAACGCACGTGGGTGAATTTTACTGTGTGTGTGATGTTTTTCCACCAACATTGGATATAAATGGATACTTTCTTCTAAGACATTGCTAACTGACATAAACATAACTGATTCAACTGACTTTTGATTCCAGGGAAGCGCTTGGAGAATCATATAATGGTGATACTGTCTTTGCGGAATCCTTAGAAGCATTTGGTGGTGGTCTAGATGATCCTATCAGCGTGTCCATAGGAGGTATCTTAAATTGGATAGCTAAATGAAAGTGCCCTGAGCATATTCATATTTCAGTGATATAACAGTTGAACAAGGGAGTCACTATATTTTGGTGGATTAGACCATGCAGTTATGAATATGTACTGAAACGCCATCACCTTGCAGTTTTAGGATGAGTGCTCATTTTGAAATAATTTTACTACTTTTATGTTGTCTTTAGGAACAGATTAGTGGTTGGGTGAATATCAACCATTTGTTGGCTATTTAGAGCTGATGACATCTGTTCCTTTACTCTTTAAGTAGCACCATTTCTTAATGTTGTAGAATTGATTTTCTAGTGTTGTGAAAATCGTGGTGCCATAATATGGACTTCGTCAGTTGAGGTGTGTGAATGATATATCCATTATGGAAGAGTTATTGTTCATTCTTGTTTTTGCTTGCTTCCTTCATCACAGGCCCAATCATAACGAAATTCAATAATGCATTGCGTGAGCTTGCTACATACAAGGAATTTCTTCGATCTCAAGTAAGTGGATACGTTTTATTTCGATGTGAAATGTCATTCACGCTACATTAAAAACTGAAAGACACCATTTTCAATTCTATAAAATTGGTGCACTTCATTTAGCATTCGAGAGAGGGCATCACCAGCCTATGTGGTGTTTTGTCTCTTCAATTTAGGTGTGAATTTCTACTTTCTAGTGGCTTTGGATCTGCTCTGTGCTAGTAAGTGGCTGATTTTTGAAATTCACCAAGGGGAAGTATTGACTGTAAAGTTATGATAAGATGGTCAATAAATGATGCCAATTGAGACTCTGTTAAAGCTAAGCAACTTTAAGCTCCGTTCTTTTTTCTTTCTCAAGTTGTTTGAGAGGCACATCCTTGTCCTTGCAAGGTTGCATATGGAAGATTAATGAACAGCATAGTTATTGTTCTAGTTGATCACTCTCTTGGGGAGGCACTGTTTTATATTGCAATATGACCAAATATTGTTATTACAGGTTGAGCATGTGCTGGTAGACCAATTAACCCAAATTATGTCCGTCGATTTGCAAGATGCGAAGGTAATTCCCTTGATGCAGTCCACTAGAGCTTCAATAATTTAAAAATGGCGGCCAAAATTTAGAATCTGGATTATCCTCGACATCTAGTCCATGGGAAAATTTCACAGCTTAGTTGTTTGGCCATTTTTAATATTTATCATGCCTTTTTCCGATTTGGTACTCGTTGAACATTTCACTATGTTCTATCTTATCAGGAACTGAAATTTGATATTAAAAAAAAAAGTCTTTCGGAGTCTTATTATGTTCTGACACTTAGTTATGAAGTCCATGTTCCCTAATGGAGTCTTAATCTTGGTGGGGTTTGGCTCTCTCTAATGCCCGTGACCTAAGACACATGGACATGGACATGGACATGAAGAGATGTCGACATGCAAAAATGACATTTTTTTCTAAAGTAGGACACATCGGGTTAGGGCATGTTGAATAATATATTTCTGTTTCATTCTTTAGCAATTATTTCAAAACTTAAGCTAGAAGTCCAATATGGTCATAATGATAGAGAAACTAATTATTATCGAAAGAAAAATATGAATTAAATTATCGAACAAGAGAAAAAAGATTATTAGATGGAGCTAATTACAGGTAATTAAACAGTGACAGTAACTTGAGGTATTGTTGGTGTGATTTCTCTGTCATTTTCCATTTTTAATTCCCTATTTGACCTTAGGTGAGCCTCTACTTCCGAAAGTCATTTATAATACGTTCTAGTTCATTTCTTTTCTTTTCAAAATTACATTTCCTTAAATGTTATAAGAGTACACGCCCCTTGACATACCTCCCCAGCTTATCCTCTGCTTGTCCATAGTTCCAAGCTGGCAAAATAAAAAATGAACAACGTAAAAACCTGAAACAACAAGATTTAAAATTTAGAAGGAAGACTAGCTTTGAAGCAACTAAAAGTTTTGATTAAGCTGATATTGAAAATTTTTTAATGCCCTCTTTGACCTTCTCCTCCCTTGGTTTCAGCCAATTGATCTTAATGTACTTCTGGCTTCTCTCTCCAAGCACATGCTGGCCTAGAGACAGACACATAGAGATCTTGTTATTGACGCTTATCATTTGGATTCCATTTCTGCAGGAATGCCGTCGCCGATTTGACAAGGCCACATATGCATATGACCAGGTACTGATGATTTTTCAAGAGAAGACTTCTGACTTCCATGCATTTGTCCTTGAAGTAATAAAATATACGTAATAGAACGATGATATCATATATATGTTGATCTATTCCCCATTTCTTTCTACTACTATTGCTGTCACAAGCAACAAAAACTATTATATTCGAAGTGTATGCTGAGAAACAGCATTAGCTCAAGGATATTACTTTGAGGTCTTTAGTTCCAATGCCCATCTAGTATAATGGACAGGCTCACATTATTCCCTAAAAGGAACTATTTTAACATTATCGTCATCGTTGAGCAAGTAACAGGACTGACATTTGACAGAACAGATTAATATCTACTGTAAAAGTACGTCACCATTGAATGCAACAGTAAAGAATGGTCTATAGTTTCGGTTCAACATCATTTATCTGAGTAAATTTTGGAGATTGTGAGAGCTTTGAGGACGAGTATTTCAGGATTTTTATTTCATGTGCTAGAGGACAATCCCTATGGAGTTTAGGGGCTTTCTGGACTAATGATTTTGTCTGATAGGACAGGATAGCCATGGAATTTTCATAGAGGTATAGGGTGGTGTTGAAGGAAGAAATCGGTTTTCCTTTTGGTTTCATCTTCATAGTAAGTATGGCGATAGCCTTTATTCCCTGCAAAAGAATTAGAGAAATTAGACTCCTGAGTATTACAACTTGTCCAGAACATTCACTATACACTAATGCAGATGTTACAATTGGAATCAAGACCCAGAATATCATAATTTATAAGAGAAGGGGATAGGGATGTGTGGGGGGTGGGGGTGGAACAGATCATTTCCCTACCTGCTTCTTGTTTTCAAATAAAAGATTTTCACTTTCTGTTATATTTTGTTTGCCATTTGAAACAGATTTGAATATGATTACCAGATTCTGGAAACTCATATATTTTTTATCTTTTTGCCTATACATGCATAGTGCATCACTAATAATTCTTCAAGTTTTAACTTATTGCTTATTGTACAATTGCCAGGCACGTGAAAGGTTTGCCTCTTTGAAGAAGAGTACACGTGAAGAAGTTGTTACTGAAGTAGAAGAAGTATATTCTTCGATTTCACTATATTCTCTGTAACATGTTCTAAATTAGAAGCAACTCTGTTTATTGCAGCGCGAATACAGTTTCTTGGTTTGTTAATCATATTTTATTTGCTTCTAGTTCACATTATTTAGGTTACTTTTGTGTGTATATAGGTTTCCTGTTTTTTGACACCCGTTAAGCTTGAGAGCATCAACGAAAGCACGTAGGATCATACTTTTAATTATTCACAGTAGAGGGAAAAATTCATGTCATAAATCATGGAAATATTCTTAAAATCTGCACGACGTTCCAAAAACTTTAGTGGTCTTCCAACCAATTCTACACAAAACTAATTCCGGTGTGTGAGAGCACCTTTTGCTAAAATATACTGAAGTTTTTCTTAGATCTTAAGCTTTGTATTAGAGTTTTTGTGTTTTAGGAGCACAAAGTCGCAACCCCCAAAAGATAAAACTTTGATTATATTTCATAATCACCCTTTAATGTACAGGAAGACAATTGTTTTAAAGGGAGTGCTTGGTTCCTTGTCTTATGCAGATTCTACACTGTAAGTTTAAAGATCTAGAATGGCAAGCCGTAGCGACATCTTCTGCCGCTCCCTTGCTTGCTTCCTTATGGGCTGATGTGTCTTTTAGTTGAGACATCCTCGTGACACACTAATATATGGATCTTTAATTGTGCTGTTTTTATTGGTATATGATGAAGTTAAAAATATGAAATGCTCAATTTAAGCATAAAAAAGGGTGTGAACAATGTAACAGAACAAGACTGACATGGGTAATGCATATTCTTTTGCTTACTTCGCGTAGTGTAAAAACTTCTCTTCCAACAAGGCAAGTTCTTTCATGGAGAATATGATGATGACTGGAAATAGAAACTGGAGATTTTTCATATATTTTATATAGTAGCTTTAGTGAGACATAGTTAAGTTTTATAAAATAGACTCGGAAATAGAAATTTTCACTGAACCTTGGCTGAGATAGTATTGGAGATCCAATTTTAAAACAATTTTGGGAGGATGTGACTTTGTGCTCTTCTATTTTTCTTGTCTCTGACTATTCAATGTGATGCTAAGGTTTAGCCTTCCATCTTGCTTGCATGAAATAAAATATTTGTTCCACCTAATTGAAACTGTTGAATGAATTTTTTGTATGCACAAATTTGTTGTCCGTATCTTATTCTTTATGACATAGAAACTTTTTGTCCAATTGGTGATAGGATCTACACAATTCGAAGTCAGCATTCGAGAGAAGCCGCTTTAATCTAGTATGTCTAATGTACAATTGCTCTTTTTGCTTGCGCTTGTTTTTGACATTCTTTGTCTTCCATCTTTTTGGGTTACTATATTTCCTTGTTGGTTTTAAGGATTCCAGGTAAATGCTCTCATGAATATTGAAGCTAAAAAGAAGTATGAGTTCTTGGAATCTTTTAGCGCCATCATGGATGCTCATCTGAGATATTTTAAGTTGGTGCGTATTTAAGTTACTATTTACACTCCAGTGCTAATAGATGCTATTGTTTTCTTCTGTCAGACTAATAGACCATTTATTTTTTAGGGATATGACCTTTTGAGCCAGATGGAGCCTTTTATTCATGAGGTATAATGGTTATACTTGTTTCCCTTTAAAAATGATTTTGGAAAAACGAGCGTTCAGCTGTAATTGTGCAACAGGAGGTTGATATATTCATGAAATTCTCTTCATTAATATTTCATGTTCTAATTTCTCTCTTTCTTTTTCTATGCATCTCTCTCTCTTTCAAATCTGTTCAGGCTTTCCTTTCATATTAGTCCTTGTTCTCTCGAATCCTCTTACATCATTTTTAGCACATGCACCTTACAAAATTGAGGCCTTGTTTGTTTCTGATTAAAATCAGATTTTAATCTAAGTCAAAGTCAAACAATCAATATTAACTACATCTTTCATGGTCCCACAACTTTTCAACCACACATTTCAAAAATTTCTATCACAATATACTAAAAATCTAATTTTAATTCCCACCAAACTCCCTCCGAATATAATTCTACCTTTAAAGATTAAAATAATCTGGTTGTGTCGTTATTTCTCGAATTGTCCCTTTGTTTAGCATCTATGCCTAAAAGTAGAAGATGGATCCATAAATTACTTTTGCAGAGATAAACGGTTGGATGTTTTCCTGTAGCTACAACTATTTATACTTCAACAAATGGTTTGACTACTAATTTCTAATGCACCGAGGGAGTTCAATCTCTTCGAATTTTCTTTCCCTTTTTACCTCAATCTTGTGAAATAGATAATCTGTTAAAATTCATAAATATGGTATGATTTTTTTTTCTTTTTTTCTTGTCTAGATTTTATAGCTTGGAAACTCTCGATAGTTTCAATATATTATCTGCAAGTCATCCTCTTTGTCTTCTCTTTTCCCTTTTAACATTTTCCAGATGAATTGCCAAAGTTCCTTCAAAGTCAAAGGCAAACTTCTTTGGTTCATGAAAAATTAACACATAAGATGTATTGCAGGAGTTTGGAAATCTGATTTCATAGCCCTAATTTCAAGAGTGATTTGAGGGAATCTTGGCATTTTGATCTATTTTAGTTGAATTAATATTTGATTGTTTTGCACATGTTATTAGAAGCTAGAATCAAGGAGGAACAATGGCTGATTGATTGTAATTTTCTCCTATCTAATTTGCGTATTCTTTTGTGTTTTTCATAATAAAATTGTAGAGGACACTTTCTCCTCTTTCTTTGAGGAGTAATGCTCCGTAAGTGTTTCACAAAATGTTATGTGCTTGCTAAGTAGCAAATCAGCCAGTCATAGGTTCTTGAATCTCAGTTTCACTGAAGTGATATGGTTGAGATGTTTTGTTCTCTGAAGAATTGGTTGTCTTACCAAAGCATCTTTGATCATCTTTAGAAATGAGTGCATCAATACTTACTGGCTATAGGATTTAGTGGTGTTTCTGTCTTCTTTGTGGTTTAGACTGTTGCTTCGGTTGGAACTGGCTTTAGCAGACATGCAGTGCCGGGGGAAGCTGGGGAAGTTTTTTTATTTTTCACTAAACTCTTGCATTTTCAGTGTTTGTTTTTGAGCACTCCTGGTTCTCTACCATTTTAATGCATTTTAAAACCCTTGCTTTTGAGTTTTTTTTTTTTTTTTAAAGCACTCCTGGTTCTCCACCACTGTATTCCCTTTTTGCCTTCATATTCTCTTTTAATTTGTAAATGCCCACAAAACTAGACGATGAGTTTGTAGATTATAATCTTGACAAAAATTACGATGGAGGGTATACAATTTTGTTTCATAAATCAGAATAAGTGAATTCACAAATATGTAACAAAATTTGAGCGACAAATAATTATATCAGCCCAACCTGGGCAGTTTCAGTGGAGAGAGTGGTGCATTGTCCTTTATTGTGAGTGCTAGAGTATTCAGATGTCATTGCTTCTATCCTTTATTTTAGATAATTTCTGTTTCCTTTTCTCTTTGTCCTTTCTATATGTTGCTAACTGAAAAAGGGGAATTGAATCATACTCTGAATTGTGTATTCACGAGGTTGTCCTCTTACAATATTACATGATAACACGTACATTCAAACTCAAATAGATTTATTTTGTTATCCAAAATTTCCAACATTTGGCCTTACAAAATCTTCTATAAACTACTAAGTGGAATGCATTGAATGTTTTCTTAGAATGCCAAATCTTTTCTAGTTGACACTGAACTGTGCTTGGAAGCACAATAAATTCTTGGCTCTCTCTCTGATTTGATAGTGCTTTGAATGGGATCCATTTAAGCTACTCAGTTTACATAAACCCTTGTTGTATTATACAGTTAAACTGAAATCAATTGGCTTTGATATAGTGGCCCGTGTAACTTACTAAGCTGCCGCTTCTATGAAATCAGGTGTTAACCTATGCACAACAATCAAAGGAACAGTCAAATATTGAACAAGATAGACTTGCAAAGAGAATCCAGGAGTTCAGGACAAGAACGGAGTTGGCCAATTTACGAGCATCTAGTAACATGGCAACTTCAACGGGCTCTGTTGGCATGAATGGATTAGACTTGAGTAGTTACAAAAGCATAGAGGGAAATGTGCAGTCCACTGCTAAAGGTGAGGTGAGTAATATTTCACTCAGTTTTCTGTTGCGAGGATGACAAATTATTCTATTCTAATCTTGAGTTCGTCAAAAAGATTAGAGCTACTACAAGTACATCTATTTGGTTTTCTAAATTCTAACTAATGTACTCCCTGAATTTTAAGAGTTAATGAATTGTTGACTTTCAGCTTTCCATTATTTTATGTCTTGTATCATCTAGTAATTGTAAAAAAAATTCATTTTTCAGGTGCAGACAATAAAGCAGGGGTATCTTTTGAAAAGATCTTCTAGCCTGAGGGCAGATTGGAAAAGGCGATTCTTTGTACTTGATAGTCATGGGATGTTATACTATTATAGACAAAAAGGTGACAAACGTGGGGTATGTTAAGGTTTTTTACCAATATCAGGTCAAATTACTAGCATTGTTCATGTTTTAACTTATGTTGCCTTAGACTTTCTACTCTCTGCGAAGACCTTGGAGTGTGTGGGGGTGGGGGATCTTGCATTTAACATCATTTAGGAAAATTTCTTGATGACAGACATAATCGAACAAGACCCAAAACTTTAGAAGAAGAGATAAGAAGAGGAGAGAGAGGAGAAGAAAAAGGAAGATGGGGAGATAGACAGGATTTGAGGGAGAGAATCTTGTATCTTTTATTCAATAATCAAAGTGTAATTAAAACAAAGCATCCTCTCTATATATAGGGTTTTACAAAGTCCAATTTAAGTACGAAACATCTGAAGAAATAATATAAAATGCTAGAAAATCTTTACAACTAAACCATAATTGTTTTAATAAGTCATCTAGTCTTGGTAATATAGTATCATCAAGGATCTCCATCACGTCTATATTGTATTTGAAGCTCAGAAGTAAAGTAAGGTTGCCGTAATTTGGCGCATTCTCAGGAATAGCTGCAGCTTGTAAAGATGCTGCCCGAGCCCAGTTATTAAAAAATGCACTTTCTTGTTAGTAAGGTTAGTATCAAAGTCCTAGTTTGGAGAAATTACAAGTCCATGAAATTCTAAATTGATAGAAATGAGTGGTGGATAAGTGGGTAGTAATTGTGGGTCCTATAAAATGTATGATTAAAATTAATGTTCCACTTCGACAGAGCACGAAGTGTAATGATTAAGAATTATTAGCAGCTAATGCCTGTCCTCTGGATAGCCATGAGCATATAAAATCTCAAATCCCCATGGCTGCTCATATGCAAATGATTTGGTGAACTCTATACCCCGTGTTTGAGAATTTAGGGAAATATTAAGAGCGAGGGGAAGGATTGAGAATGTAGACCAGCAAAGATTTGCCGACTCCTTTTTGCCTTCACCCCTTGTACCTTCCTAGCAAACAAGGGCTCAAGATCCTTCCCGTTCTTCATTCTTCCACCAATTATCTGTTCCAAACAGAGCCCTAAAAACCATGCCTCCATTTGGAAAATTTATAAATTGGTCAAACTTAATTTTTAACCACACATTCCAATGGACCCACAACTACTATCTACTTATCCACCACCCATTTCTATCTATTTATAAATTAAATTGGTTATAAATTCTTCCCAAACGGAGGCTACATTGCAGATATATCAAGGCGTGCTAGTGCATTGTCTTATGATATCATGCCAATGGAACTCTGTGTCTGCATGCGATACTTCTAACTTTTCAAGCCACTGAATACTCCCAGGAATCTGATAGGGAAACATGAAAAGTCATTTTGGTTTCAACTAATTGCAATTAATTGATAGCTGATGGAGTCCGCACTTTATTTCTATTCATTCCTCAACATTTTAATGAATATTTTTTACATATTAGATTGTTTTCCTTGATCCAATAATCATGTTTAAGAAGTTACTGTACTAACAACTGAGCCAATATTTTTTCTCATTCCCAGAGTTCTCCTCCATATCATTCTGCCAACTTAGTGGAACATAATAGTCGTGTATTTGGTAGATTTCGGCCAAGGCATGACCGAGCATCATCCTTTGTCGAGGAAAGTTTAGGCTGTCAAATTATTGATTTGCACGCGTCAATAATTAAGATTGATGCTGAGGATGCAGATCTGCGCCTGTGTTTCAGAATAATCTCACCATCGAAGACTTACACGTTGCGGGTAATATATTGACAGGCATTTAATTGTGATCATATGGTGGTTGGAGTCTTTGTTTAATTTTCTTATTTTTTAACTTTACATTATTCTAGTCATTTCACAAGGAATCTACTTTAGCTATGGCGAGTGAGAAAATGGCTTTTTATCGTTACCGTCATTTGTGGTTATTGTGCATTACTTAGCGAAATTTTGTAATAATATTTATGCCCGTGTTTTTCTAATTTTCTTTTGGTCTAACTTAACCTTTTCGGTTTAAATGTTATTTGCCACCCGAACTTGTTTGAAGCATACTTCAATTCATTTGGAAACTAGTGTACTTTCTATATCTGGTACATTTCTGTTTCTTTCCTTCCTTCATTTTAATGCTATTGCATGCTTGTATTTGCTGCTTTTGTAGTTCATATGCTGATTTGGTTGTCAATGAGATTGAAGAATAAAGATTACGGAGATTGCACTTACTATAAATACTTATATAATTGATTGTAAATTATTGTAATTAGCTTCATTACCATAATTAGGATGTACACAATTTCTATTTAATGGAAGAACCCTCAAACAGGAAGATAATTCAGACTCAAACAGGAAGATAATTCAGACTTTGTCAGTTTTATCTTTGAGATTGGTATTGAGTTTTAAACCAGTTTTCTTAATAATAGAAATTTAGCCCTTGTTTGGTCCCCTTTATTTCCAAAATACATTTTTCTCTCTTATTTTCAATCACATTCTTCAATAAAATAATATTACACGCAGACCAAAAACTTTTCCTCTTTTTTTAACCAAACATTCTCCATCAAAATATTATTCCAAAATGCATTTTGGAGAAAAAATGGGCCTCAAACGGGCTCTTATATTATTTATATATAGACTTTGCCCTTGAAGTAGATTTGCTAACTAGTTTGAAGCTCTGTAAAATATATGCTTTGTATTGGAGAATGAACTCGCTAAATCTAGATCGAGATTTCCTTTAATTTCTTCAAATGCATCATTACAGAATATAGTTGACACTCTAATAATTAATACATATTAGGTTAATAATCTCTAATTATTCATGAAGATTGCATAAACCAACTTATTTTGATGTCTAAAAATCAATATTTTTAGTGCCCAGTGATTAATGACTTCTTAACGAAAATGACCGTAATATTATTTATTAAGAGACATCCAATGTGTACTAATTTTTAATCATTGCAAGTGTATAGAGACCTTATAATTTGTTTTTGATAAGAAACATAGTTTAATACTTGAAATACATAAATCAAGGGAACAAGGAATCCTTTTATAATACACACACACACACAAAAAAGAAGAAGTAATAAAGATAGAATAAAAAATGCATTACATATTTGAGAACCAACAAGTAGAAAAGATAAAGCCCTTGTTTGATTTTGATTCTTTGCGAATTTCTTCTCTCCCACCCTCATTTTCAACCGCACATTCTAACTTTTCACTATTTTTTAACCACAAAAAAAACAAAAAAAAAAAACTTTTGAAAGAATCACTTGTCTAAAAATCTTTATCAAACAAGTGCAAAGGGAAGTACCCAAAGCTCATTTAATGTAGAAGTCCATAAAGGGCTGAAAACTTTGCTGTCTTTTTCTTCAAATTCTCCAGTTCCATTCTGTGTTTTTAAAAGTATTTAAGGCTTATGCATTGAGGAGCATTGTACGTCATGTTCATTAGGAACCTCGAAGCTTATGCTTTGAATGACCTTTATCAAGGTTTACACCTGGAGTTACTGAAATACTAGCGTTAGGGTAAGTCTTGGGGTAGTTGAAGTGTGCAGTTTTGTCTTGCCCTTTCTAGGCATTTTTACTAGCCCTGAAAACTGAAAAGAAAAGAACTGAAGATTTGAGAAGAAAATAAATGAATAGCCCATGTTTGCCCTAGTTCTCTAGTCCTACAACTGAATTGCCCAAAGCGCAAGTTGCAACTTTTGGGAGCCAGTTAACTGTCGACGGGGGATTTGCAAGACAAATTTCATTCCTCTTTTGTACTTGTTTCAATATATGTGCTTTCTTTTCTTTCCGTGGGTTTTCTTCCTTTTAAAGTTAAATTAAGCTAAATTCTTTAACCAGTTGGTAATTTCGTTTGGTTTAGACTTTTAGTTCTCATTGTGGATTAATAGTCTTGTTATGTGGTTACTACTGTCTTTTTTGGTTCATTTTATGTTTCTAGCTGCATTTTAGACTTCTAATTTTGGAATGTTTCATTATAGATTTTTACCATTAAAACTTTGTAATTTATATTTTCATAATTATTGTGTGTTTATGTTGAAAATGACGGTGCCTCAAAGCACCTCAAGGTTTATGCCGCGCCTCCTCGATACCCGATTTAGCCTTTTTAAACATTGATGAGTGTCTCTAATAATTGGTGTTTAAATCTATAAGAATTTTTAACTATTAGATGATGTGCTCCAAAGTATTTGCTATTGTAGTATAATTTCATAGAAGCCTAAAGTAATCGGACCAGGTTGCAAGTTATGTAGACCTTTCTGTGTTCTTATGGACAGGCTGAAAGTGAAGCTGACAGGATTGACTGGATGGACAAAATCACAGGTGCTATTGCATCCCTCTTGAATTCTCATCTGCAGCAGGTGAACTTGAACTTCTTCTGATTATTTGTAAATATGGTGTGAAAATTCCCATTTTAACAAGAACTTCTATGTTTGACAGCTCGGGGAAAACATGGATGAAACTAATGATTCCACTGGGGCATCTTTCAATCAAGAACTTGATAATAATGAAAATATGCCAGATAACATGAGAGTTAATCGAGCTGATTCTGTTTCTAGAATTCTCAGGGAAATTCCTGGTAATGACCAGTGTGCAGAATGCAGTGCCTCTGAACCTGATTGGGCATCTTTAAATCTTGGCATTTTAATATGCATAGAATGCTCAGGCATTCACCGGAATCTTGGTGTTCATATATCAAAGGTGCTTCCTTTCTCTTTCGTTTTAATACAGTGATTGATGATCATACTTTTTTCTTCTCATCTTTTTATCTTTATATTGAGGGGCACAAGCATATTTACTTGCCTCAGAGCCTATGTATTTGTATTCTAGCCCATGGCTGACGTGAATTTTTTGTTTAGACGGTAATTATCACTCAGTCGATTCTGTAAAGTCCTAACCACTTGATTTTGATCTTTATAGAGCATTATGCAAGTAGATACCTATATTGTGTTATGACTAGTTGGAGCATTTAGAATATCAAAAAGTGCTAAGTGAGGCGTGGCAAAGATCTTATGTTATTTCTATTGCGCTGTCTTTTAATCAAAATCATGATTTTTTCTTTAAACTACTCTAAGCCCTTGTTTGACGTCCATTTTTTAAGAAGAATTTGATTTGGAATAGTGATTGATGGAAAAATGTGTGGTCAAAAAGGAAAATTTTTGGGTTTATGTGTAATATTATTTTATTGATAAAATGTGTGGTTGAAATGAAGAAAGAGAAAAAAATAAGAATGAGAATGAGAAAAAATGAATGTTAAACAAGGGTCACAAATGATTGTGTAACAAGTTTTGGATACCTTAAAACCCCTGCTTGTTCCTAAGATTCGTGGTTTGTCATAAGGAGAGATAAAGACTAAGACTTCCTGCTATTTACTGATCCACTAACCACTACCTTGCACGGTAAATTTACCATTTAGCTCACCTATAAAATTTCAGAAGTTTTTTTTCCCTAGTCACGCATGTCACTTAGAATTCCTAGACATCCACTGATTGCATATTAATTTTAATCTAGAAAGACGAACTTTTCCTGATTTTGAGACATTTATTACGACACATTAATTTTATCCTGCATCACTTCTTTTTATGTGACCAATTAGGCAATTACTATTTGCATAATTTAATTGGCTTCTCTGAAGTAACGTGAAAGTTTGAACTCTAGGTAATTACCGATTAAATTATTAATATGTGTGATAGTTCAGCGAAGTTGGTTCTATATGTCTGATGAACTACCAGATTAATGACCATAGTTCAAAATTAATTAATTTTGCAGTTCTCGTCTACCTTGATAGTTCATCCTCATATTCTAACTAGTACGTAACCTACAAAATTTCATGTTTTCAGATTATGGCGTCAATATATTGCACTGAAAATAAACACTGTCGTGAGATTTAATTTGGGAGAATAACTTATTCGATATCAATTTCATAAACGGGTTACATATATATATACATAGAGAGGATATTTCTCATTAGGAAATAATCCTATCTAGTAAGGAAAATAATCCTACTATATATACATCTGTTGTATATATGTAAAGATAACTTATAACACTCCTCTTCAAACTGGATCATAGATATTAATCATGCCTAGCTTGTTATAGTTTACTCGATTCCCACTTAAGGCCTTAGTGAACACATCAGCTAATTGATCCCCTGTCTTGACATGCTTAGTCAAAATCAATCCTTGTTGTAACTTTTCACGAAAAAATAACAGTTTACCTCTATGTGCTTTGTTCTCTCATGAAATACCGGATTAGTGGCAATGTGAATAGCTATCACACCACAAGTTCATAGAGTGAGACTTATCAATGCCAATCTCCCCAAATAAGTGATGTAGTCACATAAGTTCACAAGTCACCTGTGCCATAGCCTGATATTCAGATTCTGCACTTGATCGAGCAACAACACTTTGTTTCTTACTTTTCCAAGAGACTAGATTACCTCCAACAAAAACACAATGCCCTGTAGTAGAGCGCCTATCTACAGGAGAACCTGCCCAGTCAACATATGAGAAACCCTCAACTTTACAATGACCATGATCTCTATAAAGAATCCCACGTCCTGTAGCTCCTTTAAGATTTTTTAACATATGAGTTACAACATCCCAATGTGAAGTTCTAGGAGCCGACATAAACTGACTAATAACACTTGCTGGAAAGGCAATATCTGGACGAGTAATTGTGAGATAGTTCAATTTTCCCACTACCCTCTTGTACTTGTCTGCATCAACAAAAACATCTCCATCTTCTGCTCCAAGTTTCACATTTGGTATCATGGGGGTATCACAAGGTTTTGCTTCAGCTAAACCTGTCTCATCCAGTACATCTAGGACGTATTTCCTTTGAGATAGAAAAATTCCTTTACCGCTTTGAGAGATTTCTATCCCTAAAAAATATTTTAAAGGACCTAACTCCTTTGTCTAAAACCTTGTGCCGAGGAAAGCCTTCAGCATACTTATGTCATTGCTATCACTATCAGTAATTACAATATCATCAACATACATCACTAACAAAATACACCCAACTGTAGATTGTTTAAAGAATACGGAGTGATCATATGCACTTCTTTGCAAGCCAAATCCAGTCACAGCTTTACTAAATCTTCCAAACCAGGCACGGGTGATTGCTTCAATCCATACGACTTTTGCAGTTTGCATACCTTCCCTGACTCCCCCTGAGCAACGAACCCTTGTGGTTGCTCCATGTAAACTTCTTCGAGCAAATCACCATGGAGGAATGCATTTTGAACATCCAGCTGATGAAGCGGCCAATGATAGGTAGCGGCAAGAGAAATGAATAACCGAATAGAAGCGAGCTTAGCAACATGAGAAAAAGTTTCGGAGTAATCTATACCATAAGTTTGAGCGTACCCCTTAGCAACCAAACGAGCCTTCAATCGAGTAACAGAACCATTAGGATTCATCTTAACTGTAAACACCCACTTACACCCGATTGCATGTTTATTGAGGGGTAAAGGAACTAAATCCCAAGTGTGATTATGTTCCAGTGCTAGCATTTCTTCTTGCATGGTCGCTCGCTAGCCACTGTGAGACATCCTCAGAGATAGATTTCGGTAAGGACACGTGCTCTAAGGAAGCAATGAAGGACTTGGAAGAAGGTGACAATGCATGATAAGAAACAAAAGAAGAGACAGGATGAGTATAAGACAGATTACCTTTTCAGAGGGCAATTGGAAGATCAAGACTAGGATCAGTATGGGGTGATGAATTCGGAGGCGAAGCAGTAGGTAAAGGCTATAAGTCATGGTTAGTAGCAGGTGCCACCGAAGATTGTTGCACACGACGAGTGTAAACATTTCGAATAGATGGACGAGAAGATACTGGTAACACAGGTGTAGTCACAGTGTAAATAAGGAAATCATCCTCAGACTCAATAGAAGATGGAGTAGAAGACACAGAAGTATTGACAAGGGGTGTAGACTCAGAGAATGTGACATCAGCAGATAATAAGTATCTTCCTAAGGAAGGCGAAAAACATCGATAACCTTTTTGATGTCGAGAATAACCCAAAAATATACACCTAAGGGATCTAAGATCAAGCTTGGAAACTTGAAGTCTCATATCTTGGACAAAACAAGTGCACCCAAATATTCTAGGAGCAAGAGAGAATAAAATCTGAGAGGGAAACAGAAAAGAATAAGGGATCCTACCATCCAAAACAGAGGAAGGCACACGATTGATTAAGTAACATGCAGTAGATACTGCATCTGCCCAAAATTCTTTTGAAACATTCATATGAAAATGAGAGCTCGTGCAACCTCTAATAAATGACGATTCTTTCGTTCTGCCAAGCCATTCTGTTTCGGAGTAACGACACACGAAGATTGATGAAGAACGCTATTTTGTGAAAGAAAGGAAGTAAATGTGGATGAGAAATATTCATTAGCATTATCACTCCTTAAGATACGTATAGATTTATCAAATTGAGTTTTAATCTCAGCATAAAAGGTACAAAAAACTGAAAAATTCTGAATAGTTTTTCATAAGATATAACCAAGTAACCCGAGAATAATCATCCACAAAGGTAACAAAGTAGCGAAAACCAGTCTTAGATAATATAGGATAAGGACCCCAAATATCAGAATGTATTAAATCAAAAGAGGACGCGGCCCGTTTATTCATTCTAGGGAAATATGGCACCCTGTGGTGTTTTGCTAATTGAGACGACTCACAATTTAATTGAGACACTGGACCAAGACTAGGACATAATTTCTTCAAAACAGGATGAGAAGGATGACCAAAGCGACAATGGAGCTGCAAAAGAGAAGAAGTACTAGTGCATGCAATCGATCTTGGCACCGGTGTAGGAGAAGAGTCCAACACATACAAGCCATTGAGCTCACAACCTCTATCAATAATCTGCTTCGCCCCAAGATCCTAAAAAATGCAGTGGTTAGGAAAGAAAAGAACACTACAATTAAGAGATTTAGTAATTTGACTCACAGATAAAAGATTGAAAGGAAATTGAGGTAAACATAAAACAGAGGACAATGGTAAAGAGTTTGTTAGATGCGCTGTACCGCATCCGACTACAGGAGTTTTAGAGCCATTAGCTAAAGTGACACATGGTAAATTAGAAGAAGATTGAAAAGATGAAAGTATACCTGTATTTCCAGTCATATGATCCGTGGCACTGCAATCAATGACCCAATTGCTGGACGAGGTAGAGAAACACGCTACAGAATTACCTGTGTTGGCTAAAGTGGAAGTGGAAGGTGTAACTGGTTCTTGAGGAGCGGGCTGTTGAGAAGCGTAAAATTGTGTAAGGCGAGCATATTCATACGCTGGAATCGTAATTTGATGATGAGATAGAAGTGTAGGAGGTATAGGTAGAAGATCATCATGAGTGGCAACATTGGCAAATGTCCTCATAGAAGTCTGACAGGTGTACCTTGATGGTTTGCCATTCAATTTCCAATAATTCCTTTTTATATGTCCTTGCTCTCCATAGTAATAACAACCACGGGAGCCGCCACCAGAAATTCTATCTCGACTACCTTCCCCTCCTCTTTTATTATGATAATTGTTATTTAACTTTGAATTTGTGCCAACTAGAGCTACCGTCTCATTTGGTACTATACTCTGCTCCTTGTCATTGTCCTTGCATACCCGAAAGAGACAAGCATATATATCACTCAACGAAGGTGATGCCTTACTGGTAAATAACTGAGTACGAGTCACCTCATATTCAGGACCCAAACCTGCAAGAAAACACTGGACCACAATCTGCTTCTCTTGTTCTTGCACTATCTTCACATCACTAGTAATAGGAAACATGGCCCGCTTTTCTTCAAATGCCTGTTGTACCTCGGTATAATATTGAAACAGATTTCGCCCCTTTTGCTCAGCCCGATAAATCTTCAACATCGGTTCATGAACATGTGATACATCTTGTTTACTAGCATACATAAATTCTAGATAGTTCCACAATTCTTTTAATGTATCACAATGATTAATGACATCATCAACCATCGGGTCAAGAGTATTTTGAATCTGATTAAAGAGTGTATCATCCCCCATCAGCCATTTTTTTTTCGAATCCCAGGATTAGTTTCATATGGTGGAGGTGGATCATTAGTCATATGATCACCCAAATCTAAACTTGACACATACTTACAGACAATTCTCTTCTATTGAGCATAATTCCTACTACCCGTTAACTTTCTTTCTGTGAATTTTGAGGATGGGGTTATTGTGATTTCATTCACCATTTTCTTATTACTTTCAGCCATAATTAACAAATAACTAAAAGGGATTTAAAAGAGAGTAGCTCAAGTGAACCCCAAAGCGACCCAATAATAATATAAATCCAACAATATTGCAAGCCCAATAAAGCAACCCAAACAAAATAAACCAATAAAAAAAATAGACCCACCTTAAAGCCCAAAGGAAAATTTTATCAAACCTCAGCCGAAGTTAACTCTGCTCGGTATCAAACCTTAGCCCAAGTTCTATTTCTCTTCCCTGAACTCTGCTCGCTACGTTGTAGAAATCGCCGGCCAGAAATCTCAGCCGAACACTGCCGAATAGAACTGCCACAGAATCAGCACAAAAATCCCAGCCTAATACCGCCGACACACTAAACAGACGATCGGCAACTACTCCCGCAATCACACACTCCTCAGACGTCAGAAGCAACCTCGATCGACGACAACATGCATCCTTCCAACCATAACTACACTCAGGTTCTGCTGTCTATAATCCATATCAACTAACCTAACACTCCCTACCAGAAAAGAAAATTTAGAAGAAGAAGAGGAAAGAAAAGGAAGTGGAAAAAATACCAAACCCTGGAAACCTTGCTTTGATACCATGTTGCGAGATTTAATTTGGGAGAATAACTTATTCGATATCAATTTCATAAATGGGTTATACATATATATACATAGAGAGGATATTTCTCATTAGGAAATAATCCTATCTAATAAGGAAAATAATCCTACTATATATTCATCTGATGTATATATGTAAAGGTAACTTATAACAAACACAAATAAGGAACATGCGATATAATGTGGTAAGTCCTTTAGGAAAACATTCAGGGCCCCGTATCACGGGTAAATAATCCACTATATTGAAAAATGATCGTCTCAAGAAACTTTGGAATTACAAATTAAAACCGAAACCAAAACAAAATCAGGAAACGTTTTTTAGCTTTCTTGATTTGTTGAGGAGTGGAACCAAGCCAACGAACTTGTCCTAGCATCACTCCTACAATTGCACCCGGACTTCACCATAAATCATAATAAGAACCCCGTTCTTATTTCAAAGTCGAAATTCCTTCGCTATATATGGATTCAATGTCCTCTTGGAAAATTATGACCTTCAATCCCAATTGAAGGAACAAAAGAACACCAAAAACTTGTACTATACAAATCCAGGAGCCTTCTTCTATTCTTCTGAAAAAATCGTGTAGCCTAATTTTTTGTTGTTCAAGATGTTTAATTATTTTCTTGGAGTCCTCTCTTAGCTAAAGGTAAAGACCCCTAAGAAAATAAGATTCCTACCCAAAATTTGAGCTGTCTGTTCACGTTGCACTGATCTGTTCACTGGTGAATCTTAATATATGAACTCACTGAGTCACAAGTTCACGGATGAGTTTGAATGTATAGACTTCACACTGACGAGAAATCGCCATCCCCTATTCCATTTAGAGTCGATTTTCTTTCTCCTTAGACACGAAAATTTTCTTCAATTCGTTACCTAATTGATGCACTAGAATCTTCAAGAAATATATTAGTATTTTTCATGAGCATAATGATAAAATCTTTAATAAAATAAAAATAAGGAAAATCTTTAACTTTCTCTCCAAGCATAAAGATACAGATGGAAGACTAAGCTTCAGCCGTTCACAAGTAGTGATTATGAGCTCTTTCCCGTTCCGGTTCAAAAGAGGTAATTCCTCCACTTGCACTAGTGGATTGAATAATAATGACGCAATTAATCAATTCTTTGTACCAAAACTCGTTTTCAAGTATTCATATGGAAAGTTATATCGCCGAATTTATACTTAACTGACACATCAGTTCGTGAGTAAGAGCATGTGACTCAGCATGAACTTATTGAGCTAACTAGTGCAACACACTCCTCAAACTTCTTCAGATCACTCACCAACAAAATTTTGAATTTGTTTTATTAATGAAGTTAGCAATTAATGAAAAATATGTTAAGAAATTTCCCGACATATCCAATAATTATCGACTTAAATATGTTCCTTGTTGTTTCACAGCATGATGGATCTGATATAGAAATATAATTAAGCCCTTGTTTGTTGTAGATTTTTTGAGAAGCGATTTTGTGAAAAGTGTTTTTTTAGAGGATTTGTGGTTAAAATGTCTGCAAAAGTTACGGAGTCACGTGCAAAATTATTTTAGTGGGAGAACGTGAGGTTAAAAACAAGTTTAAGGAAAAGTAGATTTTGAAAAAATTTAAATTAAATCAGGGCTAAATATGATTTTAATACACTATAGATGAATTGAATTCAAAACATATTTATTGTGTTTTTTACCCAAGACATGGACATGAATTATATTGATCCTATATGAGATTTCAATGAATATCATAATGTAGACTAATCCAATGCTTGTCCCACCAATTACAGGTGAGGTCAGTCACCTTAGATGTCAAAGTTTGGGAGCCTACTGTCTTGGGATTATTTCAAACCCTCGGTAATGAATATTGTAATTCTGTTTGGGAGGAGCTGCTTTTACGTCAGAAAGATGGGTAAGTTCCTTGAACTGTATACCACCCTGAGACAATTGATATGCTATCAGTCTACTGTATATATTGAAGAGCTCGTGTGATCAGAGATATTTTGAATTTAGTCTTTATTGGAAAATGTGGCATGAACACTAATTGAACTTTGTAGATTGCAATTGTAGGCACAGGCTTGGAGTTGAGGAACAACTTCGTATTCATGGATTTGAATTTTACAATTCTAACATGCATTCACAAGCACTCTTTAACTCTGGGTTTTTTTAGATCAGATTAAATAAGCATGTATGTTTTATAAGTTATGATATTTTCTTAAGCTGTGATATTAACTTAATACGTTTCTTGAACAATATTCCCACCATACCCATCTTTCGACTTAAATTTCCATGACATCCTTAGTAAATCTTCTTGTAGTACCGACCTTGTGCCCATGTGAATTTTGATATTATTATTTGTTATTTACAGTATTCTCATCAAACCCATTTTTACCACTTTAAATTATAATTTTTTGACCCTTCTCCTTTGTGTTCTGTTGTATATCCCAGCATGAAACTTCGAATTTTGCTCATTTGTTTATAAAATGAAGCGTGGAGAGTTGTTTGAGAACAAAGAAAGTCAGTGAGTGTTTGATTTGATCCCAGCGATTGCTTAGAGGGACAAATATTTATATTTCTGCACTTAAACAATACCAGTGCCTAGTTAGAAATTATTCTTTTCCACGACTTACAAAATTGAAGCTATTAGACAGTGCAATTCCTGTTGATAAGCACAAAGTGCCCCCAACATCCAGTCAGCTATACAATGGCAACTTATCAATAAGATCCGAAAGATTCACTGATCCCACAGAATAGTTTTTTCCATGCCTCAACTTCATAATTGGAGAATTGTGTAAGGGAATTCTTTTACCTGTTTCAGGACATTTCGACTCCACTTTGCAATTGTGTGCCTTTTCCAAAGTTGCCTATCCATTGCAATATACTCTTGAAGCTATTGCATGAGTCTGGGTTTCTGATTTCTATAACATGGGACCCAAGCTTGGCCCAAACATAGGTTAATTAGATTTAGACCAAGTTTATACTGAACATTCCTTTTTTAGTTTTCTTTTATATGTGGAATGTCAGTTTCACGAACCTATGAACTTCAGATACCTATTTATCTATTCCTACGCAAGTAAACCTTCAACAATAATCTTCAACTCTTTGATATGATGATTTTATGATATTTTACCATTCACCAATTGAATGGATGAAAGACACAGCTTGGCTACAAATATGCCACCTGCTAGTTAGTCACATATGGTCATCTAGTCACTTTATGCATGCATTTCCTCTTAGAGCCTTGGACCATGCACTCATGAGTCATTACAGTATGTTATCAATCCAGGCTTTTTCCCAGCACTATTGAGAGAGTCCAAATCCACTCTTTTGAACCTGTGTAAAAGTAGCGACCTGACTTTTCTTGCTTCATCATCAGAGTGCTATTATCATCTTGGGTCTCAACCTAAAATCTGCTACATTCAATTTAATGCTAACTCTGAATATCTACAACAGATGTTTTGATAACATTTGTAGGGTGAGGCCGAGGAGTTCACCGTAATAGACTTGGCCTTAACAAACAGGTACAGAACCCAAACTTGACCTAGACATTAAGCAATAGGTGTCTCAGTTATTTTCCCGACATGAGACATCACTTTCTCCCACTACTTTAATCTACCTAAGTACCATTTTTGTTAAAACTCTTTGGCAGGTTTGGATGATGGCTTGTTGCACCACCTATGCAGTTGGGCAACTTGTGTGGTCCTTTCCTTAATATGTGAAAAATGAAAGTGAGAAAGTAAAATGTAAAACAGTCATAGAAATGGAGTTTGGTCAAGATTGATAGAGAACACCTATAATTTATGCTATGTTCTGTTGGACTCTTTAAGGACCAAGTACTTACAAGTAATCGTAGCAAAATTAAAGTTGTTAAGATATACTTGTAACCATACTAGAATGTTCAAAATAAAGAATAGGATATAATACTCCAACAAGTCGAGTTAACATCAATTAGAGATAAATTTAGCAAAGGACGATTGTCGCGCTTTTTCTATAACGTGATTTATACCGCAAGTGTACGGTGTCAAGTTTTGCAATATAATAATGGAGGTAGAGTGTCGAACCCACAGGAATTGTAATTCAAATTATAGCCTCTATTTTATCTAGATGAATGAATGTTATAATCAATGTTTTTAAACTAATATGGTGACGGATTCAACAAATAAATGCAAGTTTGAAGAATAATCAAGTGAAAAAGCCTAGGGTTACGATTTCACCTAACTATCAAGTATGATTCTCAATTATATAATTATTTATAATCAATTTTTCAAAATTTATAAGCAAGAACACTAACGTAATTATACTCCCTCTCTCGAGCGCCGAGTATATTTCAATTCCAATATCTCTATTCCGAATTAAAATATAAAATTTATCAAGTTCGTGGTTCTTAAATAGAACATGCTTCAAAGGAATTATATTTTCTCTCGAAACCTATAATTTCCTATTTTGTGTTATTCTTATGATAACGCCTAAACTCCCCTCTCTTGAGTGCCGGAATTGACTTGCATCAAATCATTCAATTAGTGGCCAATTAATTGAAAGTATTAAAATCATAACACAAATAAACACATGCAGAAAATCTAATAAAAATAACTAAAATTAATCAATCCATATTCTCAAGTTTTTTGCTACAATCAAACCCTAGATAATGAATTTAGCTGATGTTGTAATCTATGAAAATACTAAAATTCATATAAAATGACATAGGGAAGAGAATAGAAAAACTAGGATGTAGATCTTCAATTTTTTCTCTTGTTCTTCTTTGTCTTGTTTTTTCCTTGCCTTCTTGAAGAATTGTGTTAAATTTCCCTTTGCCTCTTGAACCGTTCTCCCCCTAGAATTAGGTCTTAAAGGTTGTATTTATAGTATTTTGAAGTCTTGGAAGGATTGGAGTCGTGTTGAGCCAAGAAAAGAGCTAAAAAAACTCAACTTTTTTCTGCCCAGCGTCGCCCCAATCGTGGCACTGTGGCGCCTAGTTGCCGTTGGATTGCAGCAATGGTGGCGTTGCGGCGCCTAATTTCGGATGAAAATTCAGCATTGTGCGTACTATAGTATTTTTATAATGACTTTTTCTCTCGATGTCTGATTGAAGCGATTCAAGATGCCGACGGAAAGACAACTCTAAGGGCTACAACTTTGCTTTAGATATCATAGAACGTTTGCTATGTCAAAAATGTATCTCAATATGAGACCAAAAATTCGGAGCATAACTTTTTCGGTTGGAAATTTATATGTGATCACACTTCGCGTATATTTCATCCATTTGACTTCTTTCTTCATCCAATTGACTCCTAGCACTCTGGAATCTTCATTGTGAGGTCCGACACAACTTTTGATTATTTTCACTTTAGTCCCCGAATTTTGGATCTCTTACAATTTAGTCATCTTATCCAATTTTGTCAACTTTTGCTTATTTCCATCATTTTAATCAACATATATCACAATATCAAAACACACATTAAAACGCTCTAAAACTCATAGAAATTAGTTAAATATCAAGTTTAGATGATGTCTAAACTATGAGTGAAATACACTCATCAACTATTAATATTGCCCGGGCTTGTATAATAAAGCCTAAATGGAGTTCTCATCACAAGAGTGGTGTGCTTCCATTACAACAGGTTAAAAGAGGTAGATAAAAGGTAGTACTATCAAAGGTTGTCGTAAAAGGTTTGATTTTATTGAAACTTCACTGGAGGTAAGGTTAGACCAAAAGGGAGTGACCAAAAGGGATTATGTTGCGGACCCGAAGGCTATGCAGATTAAGGTTTACTCATTGTTGTGAAAATATATTCATCTGTCAATATATTATTCTGTATCATACATAGAGGTCTATTAACTAAGCATTGATGTTGGTAATTTTATATGTTATTGGAATGGAAGAATTGAATCTGATTAAATTCATGAATGATAAATGGATAATCTTTTTGTCAGTATTGCGTCCACATCAAATTAGCTGATTTATTGAGCTCTTGTGCTTTTCCAGATTGCTGTGAAACTCATTATTTTTTACCGACTTCTTACATAATGCAGGAAGATTGAAATTGATGCCTTGCCCTCGTCAGTTACAAAACCTAACCCCAAAGATGCTACACACCAAAAGGAGAAGTACATTCAAGCAAAGGTATACTATTATAAGTTCATCATTTATTAATTTTTGGGACTTACTCTGTGTCCTGATATTTCTCTAAACAATATTAGACCTTATGGACTAATTAAGAACTATACTGTGTTGAAATGCACTTACTTTTCTGCTTTCCATTTTCCCTGATGAAAATTTTCTTATTCATTGCATGGAACCATAAATGCATTGGTTTTTAGTTACTTGGGTTGAAGTAGCTTTGACTGGAAGTGGGTTTTTAAGACAAACTTCAGTCAGGATATATTTTTGTTTTAAAATC